ACTTCTTCTTCTTCTTCTTCTTCTTCTTCTTCTTCTTCTTCTTCTTCTTCTTCTTCTTCTTCTTCTTCTATCATTATCATAATTATTGTTTGTCTTTTTTTATTGTAACTAAGAAGGGACAAATATATATCTGTCTGTACAAATTATGTAACATTATGAAGGAGCAGCATACATTTGAGTAAAAGTCAACTACATCTCCCCATTCTTAAAATTAGCGAAAAGCACCGTTTGTGAATGACATCACTGTGTCTTCGATGTGGCAGCACGGAGGTACGTACCATCCCTGTCCATTGCAATAGAACCTTTCACATTCAGCACCTGAAGAGACACACACAAATGGTATAGGTTTAACGCCTCTATCAATACTATTAGGTTAATTAAGAAGCGTGAGTCTCCGAATTTAAAGTCCGTATCTGAAAACGACCAGGTCAAATAGGAATTTTGTGTAAAGTGTCTTTCCCAAGGACACAACGTAGGACCCAGCTGAAGTTTAATCCCCCAAACTTCCTCACGATTACGAGTCCTGTGAAGAGACACGAGACGCCGCAGAAAAGAAGAGGATGAATACTTATACCTTTCATTTGCACCCATTGACTCCCAATTTTTCAGAAAAAAAGGGGGGGGGGCTCAAGAGGGTTCTCATTACGAGTGCACACTGCCAATCAAATTCATTTGATAAAGTCAGGACCAGCCAAGTCCTATTTCGTAAATGGGGCTAAAGTTGCCATTTTGGCATACTTCGGCTGTAATCTACTAGATCTACATTCGACACTAACCTTCACAAGTAAACATATTTGTTTTTCAGAGTCGACGTTAGGATTGGTGCCAAAATAGGACTTCTTATGCTTTCGTGAAAGAAAATCTGATTGGCCCAGACTGAATCACATGAACTAGATCGGCAGAGTGTTCTCGATAAAATGCGTTTGTTTTTTAAGGCCTCAAGTCGAATCAGTCGTGGTATGCCAAGATGCTACTTTTTTGCATCTCCAAGAAAGAAAAATCTGTCTGGCCCTGACTGAATCAAACTAATTCGATCGGCAGTGCACTCTCAGTATCCTCGACAGTCACAGCGTCTATGCTGTCGTCTGTTGAAATGGAAAAGTGCAAACGTGCACACAAGAAACTTGACCCCTAACTTTGCAAGACTGCAGGTGTTAGTTAAGTTTTAGTAAGAGTTTTACGACACGCGCAACACAAATAGGTCATATAAGTGCAGAAGATTAGAGGTGTTACTAAAGAGTAACATACAAAGAAAAGAAGGAGGCTGCAAATGTAACAAGTTGAATAATGTAATGAACCATGCCACGCCTATACTATAAAGTGTGGGTCATGCGCGCCGCACCGGGGAGGGGGGGGGGGGTGTTTTTGTTGGGTTTGTTTGTTTGGTTCCTTTTGTTTTGTTTTGTTGTTTGTTGTTGTTGTTTTTTTGTGTGTTTTTTTGCGGCTTACAGATTGAGTTAGGATAATTTTTAAAAAATAGACTCTCAATAGGCTCAATCTTTTTTTTACAGAAAACCCAGAACTCCTTTTGTCGAAAATCGAAATATGGAATATACCTTACCTTTTTACTTTGTCTACCTGTATTTAATTATACCAGGTGATGACATCAAAGTCCGGTGCAGCCATTCAGCACGTGTTGAAAACATGCTGCTTTGTCACCATTTCTCATAGCCTACCTAAGATTTCGAGCTATTGTATCTAAAATGTTTGCACAATGTTCCCTCACTGTTTACATTGCGAAGTCTACTGCACGCAGGCTTAATCTAATCTTTTTTATCGTTCACTTGGCTGTTCCCACAAATATGAAAGTTCTATAGCTTAGGTCGTCTTCACTTCTAACTGTTCACCTGTAATACGCGGTCAAATGGGAGATGGACGTTGACTGTTTAGAAAACGTCTGTTATAATATACATTTTCACTGTCAATAATCGATAGCTTCCAAACCTCTGGATAGCTACCGGCATACGATTAGACAATATCTTACGCACCTTTTTCTGCTAATTAGATGAAGTCAGTTTTATAGAAATGAGCAAGGGACAAAAAGAGTATACGACGATTGAGTCTCCCGGCTAGCAAAAAGTCACTGGTAGTCTTATTATGTTTATCAAGTCCTTTCTTTAACTCTTCAAGGTCCTGGGGGATACACGCAATATACAATATGTGATTATGTCCAGTCAAGTCATAGATGAGTCAAGTAGACCAAATGTAATGTTGCGGCACTTCGAATCACCAAAAAACACGAATTGACGTACTTCGTAGTTTGCATGTTGTGAGACGTGAATTCTACGTCGCCGTAGCAGTAGCAGAGAATAGGTTAAAGTGAGCCAAAACTGTGCATGTGCCAATATTGTCGACTGACCCGAATCCTCGGGTCCAATGAGTTAATATTGTTCTCAAAGTGTTTTGTTTTGGTAATTGTTTTTGGGCGCTCGTAACTGAATACGGTCATATAAACGCGCAAGACACATTAAACATAATTTTTAGTTTGGTAGGAATTAATTTTGAAGTTATTGTGAACTGCATAACTCAATTTCTCTGTCTTCTTGTTCACTCTTGTGATTCTAACGGTTTGAAAGTGTAGCGAGAAGCGAGAAGTGGTGTCGATGAATCGAGATCTAGATCTAACCGTATTTTAAATACATGTTGCAAGGGCTGCACATTTTACTGTCATCCTGTACAGGTCTCAATTGAAAGTAGGCCTGCCCATTTTCGTCACATAACATTTAAATTTTTGAATTTCGTCCCACCCGTTTTCATCCCACATTGATCCAATTATTTAACGGTTACTGCAATTGCCATTCAAAATGTTTTTACGATGTGAGGGGAAAAATCATTGTTTATAATCACATCGACAGGGGGCTGGAAGTAGGATTTCGTGGTAGATGAAAGTTTGTTTTAGAAGTTTGCAGAATAAATTAATGTCTCCGATAAAACAGCTTCGGTTTAAAAAAGTAATCGCATTAAAACTATTGTTTAAAGTTTTATAAATCTAGGGCAAAACTTTACGCATTGTTTACAGTCAGTCTACCACTGACTCATGAGATGATAGGCTAAAATTTCGAGAAAATCGCAGAGATAAAAATATGAAACTCCTCTGCCTAGAATATCATCATACCGGAACATCAGAGAGAGAGGGGGGAGGGGGAGAGAAAGACAAACACACACACACCTACCCCCAGAGAGAGAGAGAGGGGGGGGGAGAGGGGGGAGAGAGAGAGGGGGGAGAGAGTGAGAGAGAGAGAGACACAGAGAGAGAGACAGACAGACAGACAGACAGAGGCAGAGGCAGAGACAGAGACAGAGACAGAGACAGAGACAGACAGACAGACAGACAGACAGACAGACAGACAGACAGACAGACAGACAGACAGACAGACAGACAGACAGACAGACAGACAGAGGGGTGGGTCGGTTATAGGTAGGAATAGAAGGGTAATCGGATACACTCTACGATTGCAAATGTGGGACGAAATTGGGTAAAATCGCGGAGGAAGAAAGTGGGACGAAAACAGGTAGTGAAACGAAGATGTGGGACGAAAGCAGGGGCACCGCCCCAATTGTCCCGAGGGCCGGCAGTTTGAGACGCCTAGTTTAGAAAAATACATTAAGTAAGTGTAAGTCTTCCCACTGCTCGGGAGCCAGACTAGAACGTAAGGTACACGAGTGAAGTAACGTTATCTCCATGCTATCGGCCAGGACAACCTGGGAATGACATGTATGTCGTAAACAATGTGGTGCACTTGACATGCCCGAAACAGTTAAATGTCTTACCGATTGTCAAGCAACAGCCAGCAGGATGTCGTCTTTTAACTCATTGAAGACATGCATTCTGATCATTCTATTACGCTTCCAGATGCGCTGCTTTGAGGCATTTACTTATTTTTAAAGAGGCATAACTTTGTTATTCTCACAGAATTTTCAGTTTGGTTTTCTGTATTAGAAACTCAGAAAAAGGCAGGAAACAATGTGCTCACTATGAGATGTGCAAATCCGTGCTTCTGATTTGCGTGTAATGGTTGGAAATGTGCCGCAACTTTTGCTGATATGACACAATAACATGTGTCCACAACGCTCACAAAGAGTTAAGCAATATCAGACTTTTATTCGAAGGCAGCAGTAGTTTTTGTTTTCTGTTTTGGTTTGGGGGGGGGGGGGGTTCGGGGGTATGGGGGTGTGGGGGGGGGTCAAATTTATTTTTGCGTCAAACGCAACCTCACAAATTCATGTGCTGTTTTCAAAATTGCTGACGTGCTTTTTAAACTTCTAGATAGCATGTCTGAAAAAAAAAATATTTTTTTTTAAAGAAAAGGAAAAACGAATACTAAATAAATATTTTAAAAACTGGACCACCAGGTAGGCCCTACTTAAACCTTGAACTAGCAGACGTTCAGGCACAGTCATTCTTGACGCTAGAGTAAACGGTCTAACGGGCGGTAAAATCATGGCACTTCTGGCAGCACTCTTCGCTTTGATTGCAATTTCTTCTTGTGCCAAAGGTAAGGCTGTGAGCAATATTATTTCGCCATAATCACCCTTCAATCGCCCAAATCAGTTTCTGGGGGTTTCCAGATAAAGTTGATATTTAATTTCAATAAAAATATCAAAAGGTGTTTTACATGATAATTTATTTTCATTTTGTTACGTTATTTCCTTCCCAGTTTTTGATTGAAAAATAACGTGTGCCCAGAACAATGTTCTGTTGTGTCATTCTCTTTTTCTTTAATTTTTATTAAAACTTCAAAATAAAATAATTTTTTTGAAAAGATTACATAAACAAAAAAATAAAAAATACTAGATCTAACTTAGACGTTTGTGGAAATGATGTTGACAATTTTCATACGAGTACAGCAGTGTAACATGTAACATTTAGCTGTCCTAAATTAGATTTAATTAGCAGGCCCACTTTTTTGCGTTATTTGTATTTTGATTAGTATTAGCATTTCGCCGTATGTATGGTGTTCCAATCCCAGCCCGTTCATTCTTTGATGTTGTTATCCCGTTGTTTCCTCTATACTTTCTTCTTCGTTCCTATCTGCTTCTTTGCTTGCCACCGTGTGCTGTTTCCTGTAGGATAGTGGGTAATTTTGGCCAGTCTAGATGATTGATTAACGTGACGTACCGGCATCACTGAAGTCAGAAGGTCTTCATACGGCCCAATGGTGTTTCCAATTCTAGTTCCCACTACCCGATTGGTTATCAGCTAATCTCCATACGAGATACCAAAGAGTTTGCAGAAACATTTCATCTAAAGTGCCTTTATCCTCTTTTCCGCGTTATTCAATCTTATACGTTAAATGAGGGGCAAGGGGGGGGGGGGGTTGCGTACTTTCGACTGTAGCGAGACTGGTGATATATTGGAGGGGAATAACGACAGTACAAACCGGATTCGGAACAAATACAAAATGTACACAACGATCTAATGCTTGACCAGATCATGCACCAACATGTCCAGGGGAGGTTTTTCTTTCATGAAAGTTGCCGCTTATGCTGAGAAAAACGATGAGCAGCATTGTAGATAGACCCAATTTTACTGTAGAGATAAACAGACGACTCGTTTGCCCAATACGTGTGTAATTTACTAATTACAGTTTAAAACTCCCCCGAAAGCTGCTGACTGCGCAGCAAGTCGAACTTGTTACGTTTTAGACATGCACTTCCAACTTTTATGATGCAATTTTTTATCTACTACTGTAATTGGTTCTATTTCATTTCATTTAATTTTATTTAATGTGTGTGTGTGTGTGTGTGTGTGTGTGTGTGTGTGTGTGTGTGTGTGTGTGTGTGTGTGTGTGTTTATGTTTGTGTGTATGCGCGCCCGCTTGTTTTTGTTTTGTTAGTGGTGGTGTGTTTTTGGTATTTGGGGTGGGAAGGGGGGTATTTTTGTATTTGATTGTTTGTTTGTTGGTTGGTTTGTTGCTTTGTTTGTTTGTTTGTTTGTTTGTTTGTTTGTTTGTTTGTTTGTTTGTTTGTTTGTTTGTTTGTTTGTTTGTTTGGTTTGGTTTAGAGGTTTTTTGTTGGGGGGTGTTCTTGTTTTCTTTCTCATCCCTTTTTTTTACTAAAGGTGGCATTCAAAATTAGCTGTACTGCAGTTTCATAGCGAGCAGTTATGAGATTATAATTTTTCTCTTTCAGCCGAATCGGAGCCACGGTTCGTTGTCTCTCCAAATGAAATCAACCCGGGGAAAACATCCGAGCTGACCGTCCGATGCTCCATCCCCCCAAAGAGCAAGCTTGGACTGGAAAACGCAGACGTCTGTTCCATCATCGTCTCTTACAGCTTGGTCAACGAGACCCACGGCTTCAAAGACGTGCTGTACGCCAAAGCTGGCGGGGTTGTTGGTGCCTACCTTCAAGATAACCTCCCAAAAGAGATCCAGTCTGCCGTTGCAAGCGGACTCACGTACCCACCCTCCGGCGACCCTTACGTGGAGCTGAGGATCTTCAACCCAGCTTGGGCCACCGATGCCTGGTTTAGGTGTCAGACACTCGGGATGGACGACATTGGTCACGCCGTCTTTGGCCTCACAACCTCACCGGTGCACGTCACAAGCGTGAAGGTGTAAAATGATAATAATATAATTGTCCTGATTCCATAGACTTGTATTATAGTAGTAACCTAGATCGTACACTGCGTCCGGTTCACTATGGCACGCACCATTCGAGCCAGATGAAAGGCACTTGCGGAAGCTGCCGCGCCCACAAGACTACATGTATATTAATAAGTAATCACCCTTAGCTCCCCTCTTCCTTTTCTTTTTTTTTTTTTGGGGGGGGGGTAGTACACTAAGTTACTCTCCCGTTGCACCTCTAATCGTTAGCACTTTTGGACTTATTTGTGTTGCAAATGCCTTAACACTCTAAATAAAACTAAGGCTTTATTGTGAATCTCACTCTAGAGTTTTACCCACTAACGAGGGGTAATTGTGCAGTCCACTATGAGCACGCTTTGCAGATAAACTTTTTTCGAGAGGAAAAGGTAGCGGCCCTGGCAGTGTGCGATCTAGGAGTAGGCCTACAAGTTTATGCATACTTTCTACAACAATAAAGAAAATATAGAAATGAAAATGAGTATTGCAGAAAACGAGATTTAATTGTCGTGTGTTATTTCTACGTTATGTGTGTGTTATTATTAATATTGCAATATGATATACAGTCCAGCCCGCACATAACAAAATCGGCACAACGCAATATCTTTTCGCTATGTATGAATTTCGTAATGTACATGTCTGAAATGTAAAGAATAATGTTGTATTGGTATACGAAAAAATTCAAGATTGAAAAGCTCTTCGATGTGTTCATGTTTCATGATGTGTGCTAAACTGTTGGCTGGGTTGTTTTTTTTAATACCTTAACTTTTATGCTCACCCTTATACATGTAATCAACAGCATTCACTTAAAACGTCTGCAGTAAATCAAAGACATGTAGATAAGTCATATATACAAACTCAATTTTTAAAAACCTCCATAGTTATTCATAACACAAGATGAACACTTCAGAACCACAATGCACGCAGCCCATTGAAGCAAACATCAGTTCAATCACAAGGCGAGATTAAGCATTCCTGTCGGGATGACAGGTAGGTGCAACAGATTAAGTACAAACTCCGTTGCCACCCAAACTCGTCGGGCACAGGAGCACGCGCGCGCACGCACGCACGCACACGCACGCACGCACGCACGCACGCACGCACGCACGCACGCACGCACGCACACACACACACAAACCACCACCGCCGCCACCACCACCACCACCACCACCACCACCGCAACCACCACCACCATCATGGACACCGCCAGCACCATCATCGACACCGCCACCACCACCACCACTACCAACAACAGCAAAAGCATCAACAACAACAACAACAACAACAACAACAACAACAACAACAACAACAACAACAACAACAACAACAACAACAGCAACAACAGCAACAACAGCAACATCGGTAATTATTCTGTGAGGAAAACATAAGACTGTATTGCCTTACACGTTATCAGAAGAAGACAGCGCAACAGCAATTAAATATTAGAAAGGGCAAAGGAAGACTGAATGGACTGCTGCCTCTGAGAATCCATTAAACATTCTTAGGTTCCCAAATCCAAAGAAGGCGCAACAGAGAAACATTTAATTTATTATATATGGACTCCGTTGCCTCCTTAATCCTTCAGCCACACACAACAACAACAACAGCAACAGTAACAACAACAACAGCAGCAGCAGTAGCCGCAGTATCGACAATAACAACAACAACTACTACTCTACTACTACTACTACTACTACTACTACTAATGATAATAATGATGATGACGCAGAAAAACCTCCGCTCAGATCGCCGTGTTGAGAGAAGCTGACTTCACTGCCCTTCTCCTGGCTTACCTCGCCTTCTCCACGGCCTTCTGTGGGCCCATCGTCTACCTCCCAGATTTCCTTATACAGTTCACAGGTGGCGTAGTATGATGATGGTGATGATAATAATGATAATAATAATAATAATAATAATAATAATAATAATAATAATAATAATAATAATAATAATAATAATAATAATAATAATTAATAATAATAATAATAATAAAAATACTGATACTACTACTAATAACAATACTACTACTAATAACAATACTACTACTACTACTACTACTACTACTACTACTACTACTACTACTACTACTACTACTACTACTACTACTACTACTACTACTACTACTACTACTATAACAAGAGTAACATCAATAGAAATTAAGGGTTTACGAATAAAATATTCGAGACTCGTTGCGTCTTCATGGGAGGTTAATGTATTCATTACAGCCTAAACAATAGGCCTTTTACATAAGATTAGCAAATGCAATTAATTATATGGATTAGCTGGAACGCAGTAAAGACAAATAATGGGATATGTGAGATTCTTCACACAAGACATACCCTGCAAAACAAAATGAAAAGTTTAAAAAAATGCAATACGTTGGTTATGTACAGTACCACGTCGCCTGGCCATTATGAAGGAAAGACATGTAGATCTACTCGAAGGCATGATGTGGGGCACAAGGGCTGGGGGGGGGGGGGGGGTGGACAACGTACATACTACATGCAATGTGAACCAACAGAAGGCATGGACTGGGATCCATTATAATATGACAGAGTGCAAGATGACGGCAGCTGACGACCATAAGTAACTGCGGATCATTGCACCCGTCGACCTCTGGACCAGAGATGACAATGACAGGTCAGGTCAATAGCCTAAACAGTGAACAGTTGCCTCAGGGGTGCGATCGATGTATGAGTCCTAGCAGCCTAGACAAAAAACTACATTTACTATAGTTTTATATACCACAAGATGAACACTTTAGAATGATGATGCAGGTTTATTGAAGCAAACATTTGTTCAAACACACACACACACACACACACACACACACACACACACACACACACACACACACACACACACACACACACACACACACACATACGCATACAATTAATACATACACATGTACAGAGAGAGAGAGAGAGAGAGAGAGAGAGAGAGAGAGAGAGAGAGAGAGAGAGAGAGAGAGAAAGAGAGAAAGGGAGGGGGAGGGAGAAGAGACCGACAGACAGACAGGCAGACAGACAGACAGACAGACAGACAGACAGACAGACAGACAGACAGACAGACAGACAGACAGACAGACAGATAGGCAGGCAGACAGACAGGCAGACAGACAGGCAGGCAGACAGACAGACAGGCAGACAGACAGACAGACAGACAGACAGACAGACAGACAGACAGACAGACAGACAGACAGACAGACAGATAAAAGAATAGGCTATCGTACACCGATATCAAGTTAGCTCTGGCTGTTGCTACCTCAGTTAATACCGTGCTGGACTGCCATTAAGATGTCCCTGGTTCGAATCGTCATTAATACAGTGTCTAGGGTGTTTGTTTTTTCTACACCATTAATTGCACTAAGGACTAAAGTCTATCAAAACATGAGCAGACTGTGTTTGCTTCTCATTCAACAGGTCCTGGGTTCGAAATCTGATAGCGATGGTAAATGTTATTCTTTTAAAAAATGTTCCTTTCCTTCACTTTTCTTCCTCTCTAATCATGTTCTGTGTCCTGCTTTCGTCTCCACTTTCTGCTCCCCAAACCCCTCCCCTTTTTACCCCTTCCCCTGGGCTCCGTTCTCTGCTGCCTTTCTACTGCTACACAGTGGCTCCTTAAGGCTGTCTTTCAGTTAGATCTACATCCCTGATCTAAGGGTAGGTAAGATCTAACACCTAGCCTTCTCGGATATGGGCGAAAAAATCTCGGGAGTCTCGTGTGCAAGTTGCGCACAAAATAAAGATCCCTTGAAATAATATACTCTTATAACTTACTCTCTCCTTATACCGTCAAGTACATAAGGCAGAGAGCAGTCGATGTCACGCTTGTCCGTCGTCCCTTGCCACCTCCTCCTATTTCGGCAAATCCAGGCCTTGGGTGTTTGCCTCATTCCCTATTGTAGCCTATAGCTTCCAGTTGGTCTTCATCATTTTCTTTTTCCAGTTGGTTTCCAATACCATGTACTGATTGGCAATCGATCTTGTCTTCGGCATTCTTAGATTGTGATAGAGGCCTCCAATGGCCTAGAGGTTAAGGTGTTCGCCTTTCATTCAAAAGTCCCAGGTTCGAATCCGGGAGGCGACGGAAAATTTTTCTTCTCTAATATTGTCTCCTTTCACCTCCTTTCCTGCTCTCTGGATATGTTCTGTCGTCTGCTTTCGCCTCCACTTTCAGCCACTATCCCCACACCTTCCTTGTCCTCTCCTCTGGGCTCATTGACTCTTTCTGCAGCCTTATATTTCTACTGCTAATCCTTGGCTCCTTCTTAATCTCCTGTCTTTCAGTCACACACCTGATCTTTTGGTAGGAAAGATCTACACCTAGCCTTCTTGGACAGGGGCGAAAAATCTTGGAGGTCCCTGTACAAGTTGCTAATTACCTTTAATTGCTATAATCGACAAGAGTAGGCTTCGGCCGCCACCCGGGCAAAATTCATTGAATGTTTAATGTGTCCCGCGCGCTCATATGACCTCATGCAGTTGCGAGCGCCGTAAAACACTTACCCCCCCCCCCCCCCTAAAATAAGATAAATACATGTAATGACAATATATGGTGGTCCTAAAATCGATAAGAGTGTAGAGGCTTCGGCCGCCACCTGGGCAAAAATTCAAAATTAATATTTAGCAAACTGAAAATGCTTAATGTATACCGGCCAACCATATAACCATACACTACGGTTGCGAGCGCCGTAAAACACACTTTGAAAAAAAAAAAGTTTCAAGAGTGTCGCGATTAGAAGTATAGGAGGACGGACGGGTGTCATTGGTTGTCCCAGCTCAAGGGATATGTAAACCTCTTAAAATGTCTAGAAACCATCGTCTAGGATATTTTAAAATTTGTATTTTTAGAGAAATTTTCCAGAATACAGAGCACATGTGCTGTAAAGAGAAGTATCCATCTGTTGAGACAAATTTGATACCAGTAGTTAAGTCCACTGGAGAGTCTGTTCGACAGTTAGGCTAAGGAAATTTGGCATAAGTTGGTCCACAGAATTTTTGTGGACCGCACTAGATATCTAGATCAAGATCGATCAATTGTATTTCTTTAACAACAACAAAACAAACAAAAAGTGCCTCAAAGCAGTGCTTCTTCAAGTGTTGATAAAAGACCAGACTGCGCGTTGCAGAATTAAAGAAAAGCGTTTTGAAATCAGATTTTAAATCTCCCCTCGCTTCCAACCGAGTAGAATTCTGTGGGTCTGCTCGTTCGCCGGCTTCCTCCACTTCCAATCCAACCTTTCATATTTTGTGACCGGTCGTGGTGAACTCTGACCGTTTTCCTTTGACCCCCGGGTCAGCGGAAAATAACAAAACCCGAATGAAATGAATCTCTGTGAACAGTGAAGCTGAGAGGAGTAACAGGAAAAGCAAACAACGCTTCGTGTCATGTTCTGACTGAAAGACCTTTTGCAGTAAAACAGACCTTTGCATTAAATCCCTTTGATTTAGATCTAGATTCTACATCTAAATCTTGGGAGATCTAGATCTAGATCTTGTTTTTAACTTGTAAGTTCTGTTTCAAAGTCAAAGTGAGTTTCAAGACTCCAGTTTTTATATCTTATTGTTTACAACACTGCGTGTATCTCAGTCCAGTCAGAATATTATGACATTCCTATATTCCTAGATCTAATCTATGACAAAATAGACTAGATGTCTATAGATGTTTAGAATAAATTGGTCTGAGCCTGAGCGGCCTGATGATGGCTTTCACTTCCACTTTTACACCATCAGATTCAGAATTGCTGTGTGCTTTCTTTTACTATTGTTACTTATAAAACTATTGTTTGTGATTTGTGAGTATTGTACATCTATGCCTATTGTGAGTAGGCCTACACTCGGCTGAAAGACGATTAAAATTAAAATTAAAACTACCGTTGCTGAAGTTGGCATGGTCATTATGACTATGGTATGGTCATTGACAGTGTCATCTTGCAATAATTATGATAAAACTGCAAGGGCATTTACAAGATCGGTTTGGTTGTCGGGGCTAGCCATTTTATTTTCCTCCACGGAGGAAAAAAAGCTAGAGCACAATTAACTGAATGAAACCAACAATGACCTTCAAGAACCAAGGCGTTTGTTTTGAATTTGAAGGCCAAGAGTCAAGCGAAACCGAACGAAACTGAACTGAACTGATCCTCCAATGGTCACCATGCATCTATATTAGATTCTCGCAGCCGCAGCGGTTCTCATGGAAAAAGTGTGGTTCGACCTACTGAGGCATGTGTGCCGTGCAGCTTTCGTTTGTTCATTGTTGGGTTTTTGTGTGTGTGTTTGTTTTTGGGGTTTTTTTTAGGCGGTATTAAAGCTTTAATTTAAGGCCACCTCTATTCTCACCCGGAGTGAGAATAGTGCAGGCGAGTCTTGTGGCTATTCTCACCCGGTGCGCATTCTCCAAATTTTGCGTTCACCCTAAACCACAGAATTCTACACTGTGATAACAGAAAAATTGTAGAATTCTGTGCCGTGAACAAACGTTCCATTACAACTGTAGCCTACTAAAAGCGTACAATTTTGTCTGTGGGCAGTGGAGAGAGAAAGAGAGAGAGGGGTAGCGCGAGAATTTCCGGGCAAAACAAAATGGCGACCCGCGTAGTTCGGCTCGATTCGAAAAGTTAAATAGCCGTTGCATCTTTGTAGACAACGAAATTAATTTACTTTTGTGTTTTAACATCATTTTTCAACTTTGTATTGGTCAATTTGATCGTCCACACCGATAGACAGTATTCAGAAAGAGACAGAAAGAGAGAGAAGAGGGGAGGAGTTGATCTTGCGAGAACTTCCGGGCGGGTGAGAATAGCCACTTTCTTAATTTAAAGTTTTTCTATGGTAAAGTTAGCTGATTAATTATGTTTATGTGAGACTGAAACTGATCATGCATGATTGATTATACATAAATTTCTTGGCTTTTTATTTTCCTAATAGGTTCAGCTACCAATTGTTACAATCATGGCAGGCAGCAAGCGTCCTGACACAAGCAATGTCTTAACTGGGGAAACCAAGAAGAAGGTAATAATAATAATGCAATATATATTATATAACCTTGTTAGGCCTAACTAATATATATATCTTGTAATCATGGGTTGTCTTGTGAACTGGCACGATTCTTTCATGGATCCTGGAGAGGAGGGAGGAGCAGCTATGGCATTGTGCCGCCTGCAATGATGCCTATTCTCCAACCAAGTATAAGTAAGTAACTATAAGTCTTGTGAAATGTGCGACATACTTTTTTTTTTGTCCATCAGGTTCAAGCGGACCAGAAAAGATATTAAGTGTTAGTACGTGTTGACATTTGAGATTCATTTCTTGTGGCTCTCATGACTTCCTCCCTGGAAGAGGCCTACATATCTGAAAACCGTTTTTTAATCTTTTTAAAACTGGCATATCTATGGTATAGCGAGGAGACCCGAGTTTGATTCGATCAAATGTGGGGAGAATTTTTATCGAGTAGGCCCCTATATATCTCGCGTCAATCTTTCTGCTGTAGCTTCCCTTTCAACCCAGGTTGACCCCAACAGGCAGGGTTATACGCCTGCTACCTAAATGATCTAATTTGTTTTGATGGGGCATAAAATGCCTATTAAAAAGAAATGTTTGAAATATTTTAAAATTCAAGATCAGAATTATTAGATAGATTGTAAAGGGCATATAAGCTTGCTGTTGAGTGGGAATTTGTGCCATACAAATGCTACGTCTTGTTATTAAATATTATTATCATTATTATACAAAGTTGGAAAATAGGAGGAATGGATTCTCTGGCACATAAACAAAATGAATCAGAATGATACCTCTAACAAAACTTTTTGTAAAGCAGGGTGGGTGATCAGGCAGCCAATGAGCAGAGTGTCAAAAGTTGTGATAGCTGATTTTAGTGGCCTGCCTGTTATAATGGGCTTTCCTGTGTCAGAAATGACTCTCATTTCTATTCCTTGTTAGGTTTTGTAAATTCTGAAAATAACGACCTTAGTGACCTATCTCAGGAAGCGAGGAGGGCACTGGCATGCTTTTTTCACATGCACCAGTCACATGGTAAATACAACGCTAGTAGTGAGTTCAAATTTCCACCTAGTGTTAGCAGTTGAAGAAAGTAATGTGGACCAGTCCTACCATCCTTTGACCTTAACCACTGCCCCTTTGACCTTAACCACTGCCCCTTTCCCCTTACACCCCCCCCCCCCCCCCCCACTCCCAGCATCGCTTTGAAACCTCCTTTTCATGAAGTTGAATAACGTTTTTGTTTTGTATCTATTGATATGCAGAGGTCACTTTCATGATTTCATGTTTGTGGAATATTTTCATTTTCAGTTGGATGCCGTGTTCCAACCAATTGCCCTTACAGATGATGTGATAAAAAGAATAATGGCGGTCTACCAGGAACAAATGCGACTCGCTAATAGTACGGACGAAAAAGTCCGAAAGACATCTGACCATTTGATGATGAATACTTTTATTAGAGAACTTTTGGATGGCACAGGTAAAGTGAGAAGCACATGACATTATGATCAATAATACTATATCATTGGTGGCCTATTGGTTAGGCTAGTGGACTCACAACCATAAAGTCTTGGATTCAAATCCTGTCAGGGTCCCAAAGTTGTCCTTGGGAAAAACATTTAATAGGAATTTTCTTCACTTCACCCGGGTGGGAATGGGTACTCAGCTATAGACAGCAGAGGATCTGGTCAGTTTGTTAGTGTTTGAGCACATGCAATTTGCAACTTGCACTATTTGCTTCTTGGGAAGCCAAGAATGTTTCTGAGAGTTCAGGGTTTGCTGGGGTAATAATAGTCGTAAAGCACATAGAGCATGCTGTAGAGTGTGGATATGCGCTATATAAATGCCATAGATATTGTTGTAATCTTTTTGTATCTGTTTGGTTTTCTTGGTCAGCTCGTAGATGCCACACATTAAGAACTTGTCAGCCTGTTTATTATAGAATCTGGTCAGATGATATAACAAAGTGTTGGCAAAATGGGCTGAAAATTATGGAAAGATAAACGGAACAAATGGAATAGCACGCTATGTTTTTTATGTTTGCGTAAGGTGTAATGAAAAGAGAACGGAAATTATATATGAGGCATCGTGGTGAAATCAGGCGCTCGTCAAAATAACGAAATCGGAGAAACAGGCATTTTTCCGCCAGTTTGGACATTTTTATCTAATTTGTATTTTCTGGCTTTACCTCTTTTAGGTCCATTTATAAACACATTTACATGTGAATTTTACAGAAAATCATTGATTTAAGGCACAAAATATGTCATTTTTCAGTTTTCAAAGACTCTTTAACTATTAGAGTAAACAAACTCTTGCGGCCATTTTCTCAATTATTTCACCACTGAAATCAGGCAACCTCACTTTTTTTCAATTGCAGATATCTTGAGTTCTGTTCTAGATAAATGGATATTTATTTCATTGGAAGCAAGGCAAATGAATAAGCTTTGAGTTGATATCAATAACTCCATATGCCCAAAAATTGATGAGCGTCTGGTTCCACCACGTCGTGACACATATTTCATTATACTGTCTTGCATGCTTGTTATGAAATCGGTGGGAAGCACAAATCTTTTTGTTATTTACTCATTTTGTTTTAAATACAAAAAATATATACTTGAATATGACAAAATTCTGGACCTGAAATTATGTTTGCTATGTGCATTCTAGGCTGTATTTGTTTCTTTTCATCATTATTGGGGAAAAGGGCTGTTTCACTGTTTCGATTGAACAATATTAATTTCCAGTTTTGTTGTTGTAATATATTCTTTTTATCAAGTTGTATTTGTTTTATTTTTTAGTGAAAAGAGCTGCTGATGACCTTGAGGCTCTACAAATTTTATGAACTGTAGTCATATGTTGATGTTGAACCATTCCCTGTTCTGTTTGCAGTACTTTCTCTTCCTTAGAGCAAGGAGTCTACCTAGGACTGGATTTGGGAGGAACAAACTTCCGAGTTGTGGTGGTGAAGTTCACAGATGGCGTGGCTGACACGAAAACCAAGTACTACCGTCTGCCTGATGCAGTCCTCAGTGGACTGTCAGCTGGGGTCAGTGTTTATGCATCTTGTTCTCAGTTTTAGTTTTTGTTTTGAAGGGTACTGGCTTCTGTGGTGTAGGGGCTAGGCACTTTGCACTGACAAGCAGGAGATGACCCGAGTTCGATTCCCAAGTGGGGTGAAGTTTTATCAAGTATGTCGGTCTTTCTGTTGGGATGTTGTAGCCCTCTCAGCCTGGGTTGGCTCTGACAGGCATGGTAGAAGCCCACCTCCTAAATTATCTAAATTTTTGTTGTTTTATTAAATAATTCGTTTTATATTTAATTTACAATTCACCTTGGAGTCAGAAATGTGCTCTTGTTGTGATTTTGCATAGGGAGCTAAAGTTGAAGAGTTGCTTTTCTGTCATTTACAGGTGTTTGATTTTATAGCGGAGAGCATTGAGGACTGTCTGAAGCTAGAGGGCTTGAGTGACTCTAAGGAGAAAATTCCACTTGGTAAGACTTCATGACACTTGCAGTTTAGTTTCGTACAAATTTTACAGCACTTGCAACACAATGTCGAAGATGAGAGGTGTTACGAGAGTGTAACAAATAAATAGAAGAAGGCAGAGAAATAAGGATGATATATATGTGAATAGGAAAGACGGAGCCAAAGACACTGTTGAGGAAGAAGCAAGTTAAGTCATACTTAGTGCAATTTGTAACAATTCACAAATTAGTTTTTTCAGGGTATTCAGTATGTTTTGCCTGTTTGTGGTTGAAAAATGTCAACTTCTATTTGATTTTTTTGTCTTAAGGCTGGAGGTAATTCTGTTGGAAAGGCAATGGAAAGATGAAATGAATATTGGAAATAAAAAAAGCGGAAAATAAAGTTATAAACTGAATATTTGCTTTCGTGATGACTGAAGAAAACTTTTTTTAGTCCTTTAGTCATTATATATAATTATACTTTTTTTTCTCTAGGGTTTACTTTCTCGTTTCCATCGATTCAAATTTCTTTGAAGAAGAGTACGCTGGTGACGTGGACGAAGACGTTCAAGTGTCCGGACGGTGTCGGGGAGGACTCGGTGGCCATGCTGGAGGCAGCCATTGAGCGGAAGTGTCCGGTAATTGTTACAGAAATCTGAGTGATGAGTAATATTTGTGGTGGGGTTTATCGATTTGGCCTCTAATTTGCATTTCTGAGAAAGCTGTTGCTGAAAATTGGGGATAGATTTACTTATCATGATTAAAATACAGTCAAACTGCTCTAATGTCCACCTGCCCAAGACAATCACCTGAACAAACGACCACTTCCCACTTCCCCCTTGTATTTTTTTCTACATGATGCTGGCACAGTCCAAGACATCCACATTTCTAAATTGGTCAATTTCAACTTATTTGATATTGAGTTAGTGGAATAACAATGAAATTCTGTTGTTGTTGATGCATCATATTGGTATGTCACAAGGTTGCAAAAACTTTATTGAAACTCTAAAATTAGAAAGGAGTGCAGCATCCTGTGCCCAAAGATCCCGGGGCTTGGGAGCAAGGGAAAATTTGAGGTTTTGGGTGAATGGGATCTTAGCAGAATCGCCAGGGTAAGAATCCATTTTGAATCATGGTAAGGCCCACGGTCGGTAAAGATAAAACTTCTTACTTTGAAATGAAATTATGTGATCCCTTGATATTAAGACAACTTCTTGGAAGTAAATGTTTTGTTGATACGGGCTAATAACTTATGGTGAGCAAAGATTGGTTAACCCTTTTGACCAGTTACAGTGGTCTCTTACTTAGTTGAGGCTTATCCAATAGTAAGTCTCAAGGTTTAGGTCAATCCAATTGTTTCATATGTTAACCTGTCCAAAATGTATAGCTTTCCATCTCAGACCATGTTTCCTGCTCTTGTCATAAGGAATCATTGTGTTGTGACTGTACCAATTAAAATTCGGAGAACTGAAGGCAGGATGACTGCCAAAAGGCGATCGGACTGTCTCTAACTAAGGGTGTCAGACACAAAGCACAAAGTGAAGTGTAATGGTCAGGGACATAAAAGCACTGACAAGTCCACAGTTCGATGTGATCCCATTTAATGTGGCATGTAGGCCTTACTGACCCAGCACATGATGTAAGTTCAGGCAGTAGGCTCAAATGTGAGCGCAATGTTTGGGGCAAAAGAACGCATTGACAGGTTTACACCTCGACATGATCCTTTCTGGAGCAAACATTTTACCCCCTAATGGAGATTTACAATGGAAATAGATCACATTCATGAGAGTAAATTATCTGTGGCGCGATTTGTGGTACAATGGTCACAAATTTTCTCTGCTCGTTTGATCAGCTGGGTGCATCCCGGTTTCATTCAGTTAGTTATGAAAAAAATGGGGGATCTTAGCCAAATATAGTCAATCAGAGCTGGATCTTAGGGATGACTTTTGTATAGTAAAAACTTAGTTTTCTTAAAACAGCAAGATCTTAAGCGAAACGGGATCTTACGCGATGGGATGTTAGGTGGAACTACAGAACTCGTTCACGTTAATTTGTGTGTAAAGAAGTTAAGTTGGGCTGAAAATGATTGTGTTAAATGAACAACCCTCGCTCATTTCTATTACATCTTTTTGTTGAGAGTGGGGATCATATGAAGTTGTTAACTAGATGTTTGAAGCTAATACCGTTACTTGTCATCTAGAATCCAGGAGCATTTTTAATTAGAAGTGGAGTTTATTTTTGCAAGTAAGTTGATGTATTTGTATTAGTTACATCACTCATGTTTTAGTCATTTGAGCTGTAAAGGCTAAGATTTTCTTTGTTGCTTTGAAATTTTGAGCCAGATATTGTTGTTGGGTTTTTTTTTATAATTTTTTTTTAATTTCAAAGGCATCAAAAGAGAATTGATGTCTTTGTGCATGGTGAACTGAATGTGAGCATTGTGTGATTGTATGGTAAAAAGAATGTAAACACTGTATGGTTAAAAAAGAAAAGAACATTGTGTGATTGTACAGTTAAAATAATGTAAACACGGTATGGTTAAAAACAAAGACCAGAAGAGCATTCTATTATTGTAAGGTAAAAAGAATTTGAGCTTTGTATGGTTTTAAAAAATTTAATGAGTAATTGTGTTGTAAAAAGAATGGAAGCATTCTATAGCTTAAAAATGAAGAGCACTGTGTGATTGTAGCGAATGCTGTGTCCTCAGGGTCTCCCCGTGGACATTGTGGTTGTCATGAGCGACACGGTCAGCACGCTGATGGCGGGAAACTACCTGGACAAGCGATGCCGTATCGGCCTCATTCTGGGTATGATTCTTATTTATATTGTGAACTCTTCTTTGTGCAAGCTTTTTTGCTTAGTGATGAGCATGAGGTAGGTGGCCTAAAACTTTTGCTTTGTTTGGAAATTTGATACTGCGGAGTGTGCCTAAACCGAACAGGTTCAATCCAAAAACACTGGTAAACCGAAAGAAAATAGAATTCCGGATTTTTTTCATCACATGCAATGGATACAACCTACAACAAAAATAGAAATGTCAAAATTTTGGGCTTAGTACATCTGAGAAATTTATTTGGAAAAGCTAAACAGATGGGGGACGGGGAAAAACCAGAATGATATAGGATTTTTGAGAGCGTCCGAGTGGAGAATACTGTAAATGAAGAGCCATGATCTCCAGGCTTTTTGGTCAGATTGAGCGTCGTATGAGATAATGACATCTGAACAGCTGACTGTGTGTGTTGGCTTTCTTTGACTGCTATGTTATTGTGTGCATGTCCACGTTTTTACTTAGGCAGACAAACAAGAAGTTCATCGGTAGCATGGTCAGAGTAATTTGAAGAGAGGGTTCTCTGTAAAAATTATGGCTTCATAATTTCATTGGACAGTCCAAAGTTTTAATACAGAGTTTTACGGCACTAGCAACACAAATTATAGTTTGTATAATCGTCATGAATTATTATAGATGTTACCAGAGAGTAACTTACAAAAAGAAAAGGAGGAGAGATGAAGATGATATATGTTTGATAGGAAAGAAGGAACAAACCACACCAGAGCACCTGCCAACCACCCATGGACAGCTTTTCAGCCTTTATTGAAAACTAATATCTGTGGTGATAAAGGACAAGGACCTTTCTGTTGATGGAACTTGAAAACCAGGTCACAGTACTTTTATGTGGAGAGGATTCTGTTTACAAACATCAGTCCACAGATGACTCAATGGGTGGTTAGCGGGTGCTCTGGTGTGGCTTGCTCCTTCTTTCCTATTAAAAATCTATCATCCTCATCTCCCCTCTTTCTTTTTTGTGTTTGTTACTCTCTTGTAATACCTCTAGTCTTTGACACTTATATGACTTTATTATGTTGCAAGTGCTGTAAAATTCTTACTAAAACAGAAAAACAGATAACTGTGTGCTTCAGTCTACTTTATTCGCTTGTTGACTGTGATAAGGCAGTTCTCTGTTTTTTTCTGCCAAGAGAGATAAAAATGGGGGGGGGGGGGGGGGGGGGTGGTAGCTCTCCAGTTTAGCTTGTTTGTCTTGTTCCACTTAATGTCAATATTCTTTTATCAGTTATTTTGTCTCCCTGTTAGTTCAGTTGGTATTGTGCTGCTCTGCGGAGCAGATGGCCCTGATTTGAATCCCTGACTAGACGTTCTTGAACTCAGGTCATTTTGTCTTCAAGACTCTCAATCCATTCGGCTTAGCCCTGTCAGAGATGGACGTTAAATTACGAGGTCCGGCCTCTTAGATAATCTAATTGTGGGCTATCGTGGCCTAGAGGTTAAGGTGTTCGCCTCTCATTCAATAAGTCCTGTGTTACAATCCGGATAGTGACGGAAATTTTTCTTCTCTAAAATTGTTTCCTTTCACTTCCTTTCCTGCTCTAGCAATGTTCTGTCGTCTGCTTTCGTCTCCTCTGTCTTTCCCCACCCCTTCACCTCTTTTGCCCCCTCCTATGGGCTCCTGACTCTTTCTGCAGCTTTTCTACTGCTACTCCTTGGCTCCTTACTGTTGTCTTTCAGCCACACCCCTGATCTTCTAGTAGGAAAGATTTACACCTAACCTTCTCGGAGAAGGGCGAAAAGTCTCAGAGGTTCCGTGTGCAAGTTGCTCACGTTAAAGATCCCTTGGTGGTCCAAAATTGATCAGAGTAGGCTTCGGCCGCCACCTGGGCAAAATTCAAAATTTCCTACCTGGTGAAAATATTTAGATATGTCCTGCGTGCTCATATTATGACCTTATGCAGTTACTAGCGCCGTAAAGCAATTACGGTACCCAAAAAAATAATTTTCATTTGAAAAAATAATCAAATGATAAGTGGCATTAAACCCATACTTACTTTTATCTGATCTTGTGTCGCTATCTATTCCTGAGGGTGGGTTGTTTTCTTTTCTTTCCTTCTATTCTTTTCTGTCTTTGCGTCTTGTTTTTTCCTTTCGCTAAAGGACATATTGTGTCGGTGTCCTTCTCTTTACTCCAACAAACAAAACAGATTGTTTCTGAAGAACATGGGCTCTTGGCATGAAATATGAAATAACAACTCCATAAAGTGGGTGGGTGAAGGGGCACCTGTGGTAGGTCCTACTTCTTTTCTTTCCCTTTGTCATGTCTGGGTTGGGTTGTTTTCTTCCCAAGAGCCATTGATCCTACAGCCTGCACACTATGCTTCCCAGAAAGTTGAGATTGTTTCAAAACGCTTTTAAGTCTGCTGTGGTAATAATATAAATTGCAATGCGCTTAGAGCTTGCTGTTGAGAAGGAATTTGTACTAAACAAATGCTACTTATAATTATTATTGTCATTTTTTCCCAACTCACCAGAGAAATTGATGAGAACCTGCTCTAATTTTCAAAGCTATTTTTTTCACATGAGAAGCTCATTCTTTCTTTCCCTCCCCCTTTTTTCTTTCCTATCATCGAACTTCTACTGTCCTTACCTCTCCTTCTTTTCTTTATATGTTACTGTCTAGTGACACCTCTAATCTTCAGCACTTATGAATTTAACCTGTTTATGTTGCAAGTGCTATAAACTCTTACTAAAACTAATACTCATACCATGCTTGCTCTCTCTCTTTTTGTCTGTCTGTGTGTGTGTCTCTCTCTCTCTCTCTCTTTCTCTCTCTCTCTCTCTCTCTCTCTCTCTCTCTCTCTCTCTCTCTCTCTCTCTCTCTCTCTCCCTCCCTCCCTTTCCCTCTCCACCTCCCTCTCCCTCTCCACCTCCCACCCCCCACCCCCCTCTCTTACTAAAAGTACAAACTCAAGGACCAGGCATTGATTTGATGTTGTTATCTCTTTACCTCTCTTTTATTGTCACAGGTACTGGCAGCAATGCTGCTTTTGTGGAGAACATAGAGGAGATTGAAAAGTGGACCGGGGACTATCAAGACCCCAAACACGTAGGAGGGGTCTTTTTCTTCTTTGTTCAGTTCGTTCTAGGGATTTTTTTCTTCTTTTTTCACCCTTTTTCTCTGTGGGTGGTTGTTGGGTGCTCTGATGTGGTTTGCTCCTTCTTTCCTATCAAACATATATCGTCCTTATCTCTCCTCCTTCATTTTAGTGTATGTTACTCTATTGACACACATCTATTCTTCAGCACTTATATGACCTTATTATGTTGCAAGTGCCGTAAAACTTGTACAGAACAGAAAAAAAAAGTTCTCTATAGTTTGACTTGGTGCCCTTGGCAAGTGGTTGCGTGTGTCATACGATCAAAATTGTCCGAGATGGTCACCTATTGTCAGAAGAAAAACGGTTGTTTTAGACAGGTAGACATCTTGAACTGTGCCAGTTTTAGACAGGCAGACATCTTGAACTTTGCCATTATAACATATAATATATACATATTCTGAAAAAAAAAAAAACAAGAGATGATGGGGGAAATGGTGGTTTATACAGCTAATTCTGGAGTTTTATTTTTTAGTATGTCCAGGTTTCGACGAAATTGAGTCATCGATTCCTCATGATAGTTTGAAACGTGACACACATTTCTGCCTTAGTCTAGTATCGATGTCTGAATAAATAAGGCTGGAAAAGTATTTTAAGGATAGTCAAAGTGACTGGCTGTTGAGAGGCTAAGATGTGAATTGGATATTTTTGGCTCTCGTGAACATTTTCCGAAAATGGATATACTGTCATTTAAAATAAAACCCCAGAATTGTCTTGGACAGGTGGCGGTGAGAGCAAGTTGGACTGTAGTTTGTTGTTCTTGTCCTCAGGTTATTGTGAATGTGGAGTGTGGCTCCACGGGAGACAACGGCTGTTTAGACTTCTGCCGCTCGAAGTACGAGAAAGAGTTGGACCAGCACTCAAACCACCCTGGCTCATTTACGTATGTAATATTCTTTTTTCATACAAGGGCAAGTGTAGTCGAAACTGTCTAGGACAGCCAACATTGTTAGGGAGAAAAGTGGGTGTCCTAGACAGGTGGCCATCTTACATAGAGTCATTAAAATGTTGTTTTTAAAAAAACGTAGGGGACAAAATGAGAAGTAGCCGCTAGTTTCTACAAGTGATGTCTTATACAGTTGGCTGTTTGGGCAGGTTTTACTATATTTATTTAGGAATCTATTGTGTTTCTCTTCTTAAAAAATCATTATAATCATCTTTTTTTTTGCTCTTTGTTGTTTTGAAAGAGAAGCAGTAATAGTATCATATTCATAGCTTCTAACCAATACTTTAAAAAAAGGTATCTAATACATTTTGGAAGGTCTGAATATGAAAATCCATTTTTGTGTAATAAAATACAAAAATATGTATGCTTGTGCTCGTCAAAACCAACTGCACTGTGAGATGAAGATCACACAGACCGTTACTCCCTGAGCTCAAGCAGAGGAATGCAGAAGAAGAAGAAGAAAAATCTGGTACAATACACTGATATGTTGCTTTTTTTCCTAATTTTGATTTTGGGTAGTTAGAGGAAGCCACTGGCAGGTCCTACTTCTCTTTTTTTCATCTTTGTTTCAGTTTTTCTTTGCACTAGATTACAACTTTGGACTTTTTTGTGCTTCTGTTTCTCTAACAAACAAAATAATTGAAGGGGAAAGACAGGAGATGTCAGGTTTTGGATTATTTGAGTTGTGACATGAGTTGGAAAGTGTTTAGGCACATTTTCTGACCTTTATAAGAGTCCAGGGCTAAAACTTGATGAGCTGCCCGATAACAGGCTTAGAAAATAAATTAAACTATGGATGCCACTTGGGCTGTCAAGCGTTATTTCATTTTTGTTTTTCTCAAAATACCAGAAAGTGACATCCCTTGTTTTTTCCCCTATATATCCTTCAATTATTTTGGTCGACTACAGGTTTGAAAAGTCTGTGGCTGGCTTGTACCTCGGAGAGCTGGCCCGTCTGGTTCTTGTTCAGCTGGTCCAAGAGGGTGTTCTGTTTGGGGGAAAGCAAGTGGATCTAGTGGAAAGACGCTGGGCGCTGACTGCATCCCACATCACCGCTATAGAGAGGCAAGTACACAAGTCGTTCTTTTCAGTATCGTGCCCCCACCCACCCCTAGGTCTTGCACAAAAAAAAAACAAGTAGGTCTTGTTGGTATCATGCTCCCACCCACCCCTCATCATCATTGCCTTTCTCACCCTGCACCTGGGTATAGGCCACAAACCAACACTTTCCACCTTTTTCTATCCTGGGCTAGCCTCTTGATGTTATTCCATGTCTTCCCATTTTTCTGTACATCAATTTCTGTGATTATTCTCCAGGTTCCATGCAGTCTTCCCCTTGGTCTTTTACTTTGTGGATTCCAATCCAACACTTTCTTTGTTATGCAGCTACCTGACTTCCTGAGGGTATTTTTTATCCAATCCATTGCCACTGCCTTCTTCCTACCTCATCTCTGACTGGGATCTGTCTTGTTTTCCTTAACACTTCCTTGTTGGTTACCTTGTTTGGCCATCTGATCCTCAGTAACTTTCTTAGATAATTGTTCAAGAAAACCTGGATCCTCTTCAAGTCTGAAATGCGTTCCATGTCTCAGATCCATACAACAGGACCGATTTCACATTTGAATTGAAAATCCTCTGCTTTCTTCCACCCACCCCCTAGGTCTTGCAAAAAGAATAATGATCTTGGTGGGTCATCACAAAGTGTCAGAGGAATAAAACTTTTTATTATTAGAATTGTGGTGTCTGTGGTCTAGTGGTTAGGCTGTTGTTGTTGTTGTTGTTAGCGATCCAGTAGCATCTGAGCGTTCACTCTTCTGCATGATGCCATTCGGTAATAGTTGCATGTTTGTTCTAATTGTTGTCTTGAGGAGTAGAGGCAATTAGATGTGTGGGGTAGCTTGGGAAGAAAACATCCCCTTAAATCAGTTAGTTTTCTACAGAAGAACAGATGATGTTTCACTGTCTCTGAGGGGTAGTCACATAGTGAGCAGGCAGCAGACTGCTTTACTCCAATTCGGTTGAGATGTTGGTTGAGGGGTACATGTTGTGTTCTAAGTTGGAAGATTATGGATTGATCTCCCCTCCTTAACTCATTTAGTGGTTAGGCTATAGGACCAAAAGTCGGGTCCTTTAGGAAAGCACTTGGCACAAATTTTCCTCACTTCACTCAGGTGGAAATGGGTGCCTGCTATAAATGGCGACAGATCTTATCAGTTTGTTAGCATTTGAGCGCTTAAGTTGCTGCTTGCACCTTAGGCCTATGCTTCCTGTGGCGCATGGATGTGCGCTAAATAAATGCAACTGTTATTATAAATTATAACCTGTACTCTCTCCATATATGTCTACTTGAATAAAGCATTCAATTATCATTGTCTTATAGGAACAACGCAAAATTTGTCTTGACATTAAATATTGAAATAAAATAAAAAATAGAAAAGAAAAGAAGTACATAGTAATACACATACAAAACAACATTCCTGTCTCAGAATTTGTTTTTTTCTAAGTACTAGTAGGGATAACTGAACTTCAGCACTGCATGCAGGAGAGGTTTCGAGAGCCATTGCCTGAGTAAGATCTTTTTGCCCTCAGTGACGAAGGTCAGACAACTACAAGGACGAAAAAAGTCCTGGAGGAATTTGGGCTGGACTCAATTGCGACAGACAAGGATGTTGCTATTGTGCGGGAAGTGTGTGACTTCATGTCCCGAAGAGCAGCTCACACTATTGCAGCTGGTAAGACACAGTATTTTTTTATTTGAGACATGTGTGACATTGTGATGGTGAAATTGGGCGCTTGTCAGAGTAAGAAGAATGAAAAAATCTGACATTTTTCTGCCAGTGCGGCGATTAATTTCCTTCTTTTTTTTGGGGGGGGGGGGGTTTGTTCAACACCTCACACGGAAGAAGAGGAAGAGGATGACATGAGCAAGGAGCCAGTACCTGGTCAGAACAAGGGATCAGATGTCAATAAAGATTTAGGGCTAGATATATTTCATTGGGTCCAGTGCTATAAGGATGAAGAAGATAGAACTTGAACTGATCGGCAGACCATCTTTGAACAATTAGAAAATGAGGATATGCCTAAAAACATTAACTTGACTGCTATTTGAATTAAAACTTCAACCTGTAAATTTTTTTTTAGTTTATTATTTATAATTTTTTTTAAACCCAACAAATCTGACTGTTTTTTACCTATGCAGACCATGTTTGAAATTAGAAGTTAAAAAGTCGTTGCTCCATTTGTAAAAGATTGTTCCGCTGATTTCTCTTGAGACCTTGCAGAGGAAAGGGGAAGGAAAAATATGTGCATCTCTTTACTCAAATTCAAACAAATAAACCTAACCTGTACTTAGTTTTCTTCCTATCAATGAACATCTTCGATTCCAAGTTGCTTATCATTTCCTCAGCCATGGCTGTACTTGTGAATCATGTCGGTCGACCTGAAGTGACGATAGCAATAGATGGCTCTCTCTATGAGAGGCACCCAAAGTACCATGACAGCATGATGGAAATCTTTGAAAAGTACAGTCCAAACACAAAGGTAAATTTGATATCAATGATATAATTTTATAGCATTTGTTCTGCGTCTAAAGTAACGTAAGTATCAATAATCTCTCTGTGAGGCATTCCGCTACCTCAGAATTACAAAGTTCTGTCTGATATTTTTGGCTGTTTAAAGCTACTAAGACCAGGAAATGAGAAATCAAATGCCTTATCTGCTCTATCAAAATCATAAGACTATTCTGTCATTATCAAGATATTCAAAGAATTACTTTAGAAAAAGCTTGAAATATTGTGAAACTCCACATTTTTAATGTCAAATTTCTCAAAACTAGGTATTGAGCAGATAGAGCTTTTTAATTCTAAGGAAGCACTTTGTTGGATGTACACGCATACATTAGGGTCTGAATAATGCGGCACACATGCCAACTGTCCCAAATTTCCGGGGACTGCACTGGATTTGGCAGTCGGGAATTTCAGAGCCTTCTAACATACACTGCACCAAAACCATTCCCACTTGTCGTAGATTTGATTTGGTTTTTGTCATGTGCACTAGACAAGTATCATGATTACGAGCAACAATTGATGACATTGACTTCTGGTTATATTTTTTGTAATGAAGAGTGTAGCGCTGGTGGTTGGCGGTTGCTCTGGTGTGGTTTGCTCCTTCTTTTCTTTCAAATATTTATCTTCTTGATCTCTCCTCCTTCTTTTTTGTGTTTGATACGCTCTTGTAATGCCTCTAATCTTGGGCACTTATACACGACCTTATTGTATTGAAAGTGCTGTAAAACTCTTACTAAAACACAAACTAAACAGAAGAAGAGTGTAAAACTGGAAATGTGTTCATTGTTATGTAATCTGAAGTTCTAATGTTGGGTGTCCCTGAGGGGGTTTACAAAAAACTGGTTAACATGATGCAGGGTGGGATTAACTTGAGCATTTTTTAAACATAAAGTGAAAGTGATATCTGTCATAAAAGAGCCATAGCGCAAGAAGGCCAGTGAAGGGAAGTAACTTGTGGTGGCTCAAGATGTTTCTTTGTCATCTTACAAAAATGTTGACAAAAAGCTTGGTGCAATGCCATGTTAACTACAATGTCCACATTTTTTTTTTTTTATCCCCTTTTCAGCTTCCTCCTTTTGCTGCAATTTCTTTACGTATTAGGAGACGCTTGTCTTTTTTGCACGGTAATGTACTGTAGGGCCTACTGCAAGATCCAGTTTTGCCTACCAGATATTTGATTCCACAGACTTTTGCACAACTCGCTACTCTATGTTGTCTCTGTTCTGCAGCTGGGAAAAGATTTATGGTAGTTTACTTTTGCCCCCCCCCTTTCTCCTACACTACCACTCCCCTCTTTCTCACACCATCACTCCCCCCTCTTGTCCCTCCCCATCCCATTCCCATCTCCAGTCCTCCCCCTCCTATCCCCTGTAGCCCCCTGTTCTCTGTCTCTTTGTCTGTACTGTCCGTCTGTCTTTCTATCTGTCTGTCTGTCTGTCTGTCTGTCTCTCTGTCTCTCTGTCTCTCTCTCTCTCTCTCTGTCTCTCTCTCTCTCTCTCTCTCTCTCTTTCTCTCTCTCTCTCTCTCTCTGTCTCTCTCTTTCAAACACACCCACACACACATGCACTTATTTTATTGATGTCCACACCTTCTCTCCTCCCCACAGGTGACCTTGATTCTAGCCAAGGACGGCAGCGGTCAGGGGGGAGCCTTTGCCGCGGTGTCTGCCCTCAAGCAGAACGCCAAGGGAATACGCTGCGCCTAGCTGGACCCCTAGCTTCTTCTAGTCATAGATCCTTTCTGTGGAGACGTAATGTGGTGGGAGTAGTCATCTTGTTGCCGGAAGGCAGTTTATAACCCTCCAGGATCAAGTGTGCTATATCTGGCACTTTAAATGAATTAAGATGTGAAAATAGTTAAACATTGATGGACCATAATTCAGTGTGTTCTGTATTGGACAAGACTTTGCTGTCTAAAAACAGATCCCTTGCAAATCTGTTAAAAACAAGAGCAAGATCGATCTGTTTGATATATTTCCATGTACCATTTCAAATTTTATGTTTAAAAAAAAAAAATCGCTATAACCAAAACTAATTTCAGGTTCTAGAGGGTTCAAGCACAGACCAAAAATTTAGGAGTTATATATTTGACTGTGTTGGAAGGCACCACTGGTAGGTCCTACTATTTTTCTTTACCGTACCTCCATTGTTTCTGTCTTTCTTCTTCCCTGCAATGTATGATCCCATCAAGTATGTGCTTCTCTTTACTTAAACTCAAATCTCAATACCGTCAGTCCTGTGTAAGACGGCCACACATTGTCAAAGAGAAAAGTGGCCGTATAAGACAGGTGGCTGTCATACACAGGATTGACCAAAAGGAAAAAAACAAAGCATTTACCTCTGAGGTCCCAGCTGGAGGTGGTCGCAGCTGAGTGCTGCCGAAAGGCTCATTAAAATGTTCTTGGGTTGTTTTTGTTTTTTTTGTTGGGACTTTTATTATTATTTTTTAAATTATGGTTCTGTGAAAGGTCAATATAAAACAAAAACCGTGTCAGACAAGAAAGGCCAAGTGCCACCACTTGGCGAACGAGCAACACGTCTGTCAAGAGTTTGTTTTGACTTCAATTGTTATGGACTGGGTGGGATTACAGACTGAGTTGTGGACGGGGCTTATAGGTTATGACGGATCACACACTTCCTTTACCAGCAGCTGAAAATTTATTGTTACCCATTGGTCAACTTGGGTAAACATTGAGAACGGCCTAAGCAGCATGACCCTCTCATCCATTGGAGGAACTGACAATAACGACGGGTGAATGAATTATGACAGCTTTTCCACAGTGTCAATAGAAAATGCATAATTTTTTACAAAGCCTGGCTGTCTCAGACAGGTAAATTTGCCTGTGGGTTGATAAAATAGGGTGGCCACGGCAACGCTGGACAGGTTCTCGTTTTACACAGTTAAAATTATATGGAAAAAACGCAAGGGGAGAAATGGAAAGTGGCTGTTTGTGCAGGTGGCCGTATTTTACACTTACAGGTGGCTGTCATGGCAGGTTCAACTGATTTGACAACAAATTGTCCATGAACCACCAAGTCCAAAATTGTGGTAAGATTGCATATTTTTAGAGATCTGAAAAAATTGCACAAATGGCACCTTTTTTAGCCAAACATCTCTTAAGACACTGATGTCATCATTTGTATTATCTCATACAACATTGACTATTGCAACTCAATCCTCATAACCATACTGAGAGAACTAATGAATAAAGTGGAAAGACTCCAGAACTAAGAACTCAAAAGGCTTCTAACACTAGAACACACAACAGTATTGCTTTTACAGCTCCCTGTAAAAAATCATATTGATTATAGTAGAGTTGCAATAATGTGCTAAAGTTTTTAAACGATCTGGCTCCACAATATCTTTCCCATTTGCTACAGGAGTAGACTATACTCCTTCTCGAAATTTACGCTTTATTAAAGTAAAAGACAACTTAAGGCTGTGCTTTGTAAAATTTGTAGAATTGAACATCTTGACAACTGCTCCATTATTGTAGATTTCCGTCCCATTGCATATTTTAGAGCGGAGACTACTTTGGACACATTTAAAACTGATCTAAAAACACAGTTTTATTTATCGAAATCCTATTTTAATACTGAGGGTTGATTCTTCTTTCAACTGCAAGTGTGAGTGCTCTTTTGTCAGTTTACTGGTGGATGTATTTGAAATAATTGTTGTTTGTTGAATGAGCCAGTATACAGGAAATGAGTAATTATATTAGCTGTTGAATTATTTTTTAAAAATTTTATTGTGAAGTGCCTAGAGCCATCACAGATCCTATAGAAATGATCTTTATTATTATTATTATTATTATTATTATTATTATTATTATTATTATTATTATTATTATCATCATCATAGAACAGTTGTTGTTTTTGTTAATGTGACCATGCTCTTCTTATTGGTGTTATTACTGACACAACTCTTTGTTGGGTTTTTGCTAGTAATACTTAAATTTATATGCTAGCAATTTTGGTAGTTTACAATTACCAATTGGTTTAGTTGAGAGCGGATTTTTGTTTTTTGTCTGTTGTTGTTTTTTAATAAAATTTGAATTTATTTATTCATTGTTATAAGCAATTTGTTGGTGCCGGTGATGCTATTGTTGTCTGTTATTAGCTAGCGCTGTGGTGAGGTGTGCTCCTTTTTTCCCATCATACATAATCTATTGTCCGTACTTCTCTTTCTTGTTTTCTTTGTACGTTAGTCTTTCATAACACCTCTTATTTGGTACTTATATTAGTCATTAAGTTATACGACCTATTCCAAACTACAGTTGAAATTGTCTAAGACAGTCACCAAATTTTTTTTTCCCGAAAAGTGGCCATCTTAAACAGATGGATGACTTGCACAATGTCAAATGTTTCAATAAATAATGTTTTAAAAAAATGCAGGGGAAAATAGAAAGTGGCCATTTGTACAGGTGATTGTCTTGTACAAGCAGCCATTAGAGCAGGCTCAACCGTACTGTGTTGCAAATGCCATGAAATTCTTGAAGACTTCTTGTTTTTGTTTTTCATTGCCTTTTGTTATGAATTTGTCGTGAGTCCGTGAAATCTCTCTATAAAATATATAATGATATATCTTTATTGACACAACATTTATGTTTTCTAATCACCCCAAACTCTGGGGTATTTTTTATGCCCTTTTGGGGTCTAATTTCAACTATATTATTCTTTTCAAAAACTTATGGATGGATGTAGAAAGGACACTGAGGACATTAGGAATGTGATTAATTAGTTGTTGAAGCGTTGTATCATTCGTTAAGCTCTACTCTTCTTCGCTAGGGTGTTATTGGATAAAAATAATTATTGCTTTGTGTTTTATGGGAACAGACACAAACTGCTGAGTTATTGAAGGAGAGCTCTGTCTTTGGTTATTTATTTAATTGTCATCCTTTGATTGTAGTGCAATTTAATAGTTCTTATGTGTTCAACAGCAATAAACATTTTTTTTTCTTCAAAATGGCAAACTATAGCAAAAGTATCACCTTGATGTTCAGTCGACTAAGGATGAGTTGATGTCCGGGGAGTGAAAAAAAGATCAACTCCTCTAAAATTCAACCTATTATCTGTTGGGACCTGTTAAGAAGAAGAGGTGCTGGAACCCAATAAAAAGATCAACTTTACCGAAGATCAGCTCGAGCGAGTAAGCGGAGTCAACTGTATTGTCTTTATTGGGTCTTGGAATATCTAAAATTCAGCCCTATGACAAAAATCATGTGGGAAGAATCTGAGTATTTATGGTTTCTCTGTCTTTTCAATAACTTAGATCATGTACAGTTGACTCAGTCGATACGGTTGATCTCATTTCAATTTTTGAAATGTAGTTCCTGTTAAGTCAAGAACTGTATTGGTTTGGTTGCTGGTTCAGAAGAAATGTTGTTGTTTTTTTCTTCTTTAATTTTTTTGTGTATTTTTTTCTTCTTTTGTCCAGTCCATACTGTGAAAATAGTGTTTGAGAAATTCCTAAATGAATGTGTGTTCAAGCCTTACTCAGTTGCTGAAAAAAATACACTTGGCATTTAGCTGAGGAGCAATTTTTTTTTTCCAACTTTAATTCGGTGCTCCCTTTTATGTTTAATGCATGGGCTAAATTATTATAAATCTCTGCTGTTCTCTGTCATCTTACAATCATGACCATTGCTGGTAAATATGTCTATACTTTTTTCATGAACTTACTTTTTTTCTTCTTAATAACACTTTAATTTTCTAATTTTATGAGTTGTTATCTAAATTGATCTGGAACTTTGTGCCATGCATTCTGATCAAATCGTTGGATTTTTGGGGTGTTTTACTATTAATATTATGATTCATTTAATGCCTTTTTGGTTCTTTTTGTTACGTTTTCTGATTCATTTTGGAATTTAGAGTTTGCATGTACTGGTACTCACTTGTTATCATAATGAGGTGGCCTTATTCTTTTCCTTTTCTACAGAACTAGCCTTGGGGTTTTTCCTATGACAACTGATAGATTGTATGATTGCAATGTCTTCACAGGTTTCTCTTTTGTTGTAGTTTCTGTATTGTATTGTCTGTATGGACTTATGACTTTGTGAGCTAGTATAGGTATATATTCGTGAGGCCAATAAATATTTATTTGTTTATATGTGGCTGGACAGACATGAGAACTTGTTTGCTTAAACTTATTTGAGTGTGGTTTGTTTACTTTATTTTTTTAAAGTGGAGAGTTAGATCTAACTCAATGAGACAGGTAGTTAGCAAGAGACACTGGTAAGTGAGATTGAGCTGTGCCCGTACCTGTCACAGTCACTCACTGGTCAGGGCCTCTTGGGTGTTTAGGTGGGATACAGCACACCAGCATCCAAATGGAGTTAACCTATGTAAACGCAACTTGATAAAATGACTTCCTCAATGAGGAATGGAACTCATGCCTTCTGCATGTAACAGGGTTTTGCCTCTGCCTATCAGTAGTATCAGGGCCACCTTAGCTGACTTGATTACAATAGTTACATCGTCAAAGTGTCAAAGCTCGCTTTACTGGAAATTTGCCAGACCACTTGATTTTTCTTGGGTTTAGTCTGGTTTTCTGTTTAGAGAGGTTGCTCAAATAGAAGAGGGGAAAAAAAAGAATTATATATTTTCTTTCAGTTCACTGCTGTTTTCAGATTAACCGTGTTTAGTTGAAATAGACTTCAGTGTACACCACTGTACTCAACAAAACAGTTTCTCCAAGAACCCAGATACCCCCCTCCAAACAGGGCAGTGCTACCGACGGAAGTGTCTTTAGGTCAAAGGGGGGGGGGGGGGATATTAACAAGTTCTTTTGCTCAGTAGAATTGTAAATGGGCTGATTTATCAATGCCATGCTCATACTGTATTGTGCCGGAACAACAAAGGGGGACCAGCTGCTTTTTTTCATCATCCTTGCTATCATCATTTTTCCTCTACTTTTGTAAAAGCAGACTTTGTGCTGTTGAGGCTAGAGAGGTGAGCAGAGTAAGCCTGATTCCCCGTTTGGACTTCTCTGGTGACATCCACCCCCTGGGGCTCATTTGACCATATACAGTTGCGAGCACTGTAAAACCTTACAAAAACTAAACTGAACATGTATTACTGCTACAACTACAATGCTTTGTTTTAGGTTTTTTTAGTAAGTGTTTTACACCACTTGCAACACAATAAGGTCATACAACTGTGCCACTACTAAACTATATATGTATTGCTGTTCATACTACCACTATCTACTGCAACTAATAATTACAACGCGTACTGCTTCTTCAGCTACAAATACCATCACCAACAAGAAGTTGCTGACATGAACAAAGAGGATAGGAATAATTAGAAATTTAAAAAACATTCTCTTTAATTTTTATTTAATTTTACATCTTTAAAAATCTGGAAAACAACAAAAAACAAAACCTTAACAAAACAAACCAGACATTCATTAAGAAACTAAAAAAACAAACTGATGATGGTCATTGCTTGTACGAGGTACAGAGATTTGAACCAGCGCCTGTAGCTCTTGGGACTAAGCAATTTAAGAGACCACAGAATCCATAGGCTTTTCGTAGCTCTGAACAACGGATGACCTGAGTGTTGAGATATACAGTCCACTTAAACCGAAATTCATGGGTCCACCATAATTTTTTCAGTTTAGGGAGGCTGCTCAAATGGAAGAAAAAAAAATAAGGGATTTTGTTTTCTTATGGTTAACCGCTCTTTCAGATTAACCATGTTCAGTTTAGGCAGACACCACTCTACGGAGTTACAAAACAGTTTATGCACAAAAAGTTTTCAACATACTCCAGAGGGAAATCACTCAGAGTCATACACATAGCATTTTTTTTTTTTTATTATAGGCTACATGTATTCTCTCTCTCTCTCTCTCCCTCTCTCTCTCACACACTCACTCACACACCCACACACACATACACATACACACACATACACATATAACATACACACACTGGCACACATTTTATAAACCCTTTGAATTTCATGGAGGAAATGGAAGAATAAATATCACTATTCACAAATTAATCAAGCAATCCCTTCTGGAACAGTTCTGAATACTTACACAATACTTTTTTTAATTTTAAATTCTCAAACTGCAGAAAACATTAGTCTTTCTGATCGGACATCAATTTGTAAGGAGTGCAACCTGTAAAAAAAAGTTTAAATACCCCAAATAATATATGATTATTACCCATCTTTAAACTGTGTCACTGGCATTGCTTAACCACAGAATTAATAACCCCATGTACAGTACTACATTTTGTACACTAATCACTTTTGTCTTCTTAGTGCTACTCTTGTGGATATTTGGTCAAGAATTGTTTCTGTATGTATGAGTGCATCTTTATGTGTGTGTGTGTGTGTGTGCATTAGTGTGTGTGCGTGCGGTAGTGCATGCGTGCGTGTGTGTAAGTGTGTGTGAGATAGAGAGAGAGAAAAGAAGAGTGAGAGTGTGTCGACGAGTGTGTGTATGTGTGCATTTTTACCCCTCCGCAGCAAATTTCTCATTCATTGCAAATATCAATGAAATATATCTTATTTCTTCTTATCATTCTTACTGGGGCACTTTAAACATGTAACTGTGACAGTTAGGGCCTACATAATATATCAAAGTAAGCCACTAAACCATCCAAATGTAGGGCGACTAAGGAAAGTCAAAAATAAAAGTGCAAGTGGTCTGATAGTGACCACATTATCACACCATATTGGCCCTGTAGGTGATGATTTCTGTAAGTAACACTAACACGCTATCAGAGGAACATGATTACGTACTGATAACCACGCATACATGTATTTTTATCAGAGCATCCAATGGAAAAGTTACATTCCTAGCTGATAGTCTAATCTTTCATGAGGCACGTAGAATAGTTTAGATAGAGTGCAGGAGAATGATAGTACAGACAGATATATATATATATATATATATATATATATATATATATATATATATATATATATATATATATATGCAGCAAGACAAGACACTGCATAAAAGGGACAGTTGCAGATCTTTCAAAGTCATTTGGTGAAGATAACTTATTTAATGCAGCCTAGCACGCACATAGCGAAAATGCACACTCAGCGAAACACAGTCATAGCGATCATGCACATGTAGCGAAACACAGACAAAGCAAACAGATTTTTAGGTCATAAATTAATATTTTCTTATTCAAAGAATATACATACATGTATGTCACATGTAATTGTGTGTATTCTGTATGTACGAGTACGAGCGTACAAGATGTGTAGTAGCGAAATCCATACAAACAAAAAGATTTCATCACACAGCCAATTTTTAAGAATTAAGCACATTCTAGACTGTATTTAGATCGACAACACTAAGGATACTATAAAAATAATTTATGAATACATCACCAGAGACAGAGCTTTTGATTTTCTCTCAAATGTCTGCACAAAAAGTCTTCATGATGAGCTGAAAATTTAACGTGATTTACACCATAGAAAAGCTCAAACATTCTATAAAAGAACAAGGGAGGCCAGGACCTGACCCAAGTCAACTATGTCGTTGTGTTGTTGTTGTTATCAATCTAGCAACAGTTGGGCTATTTCTTCCCCTGTGCTATTGACATTATTGCCGTACAAATGTACGTATTCTTTGTATTTAAAACATACGATTACATCCATTCCGGCTGATAGACAAGGATACTTGCTTGGGAATCAAACTCGTGTCTTCTGCATGCATGGCAAAGAGCCTGACAATTACATCACAGATGTCGGTACTGTACTTCTGATTCGGGATGTGAGTTTGTAGCCTGCAGGTGTTTTCATGCACTGCTGTTATTACACTTCTCTGTAGTGGGGAAGACACTGAAGACCGTGGAGAGAGTACCCAACTGCCCCTCATAGAGCACATCGGAGATACGTTTTTTTGCATGAATTGCTTGTTCCTTTGACATGTTGCGAAGACCATAGGCCACCGTTTGTCCAAAACAGTCAAATTCATCCTTTCTGAGAGATTCGGAGCTCAGAGAATTCAAGTTTTGACACACTTTCCTAAGGATTTCGTCCTTCTGACATGTCTTCTTCCTTTTGGCCACAGGCTCCTCTTTGTTCCTTTGCAGTCTCCAAGACACAGGTATTGTGGGGGCTCCTGCTGTAGTCACAGAGGGCGTAGATCTGTCAGTGTCGGAACATTCGTCATCATCAGTCATGTCTATATCACAACCTTGGGAACAAAGAATGTGTTCTTTCGAATCGACATCCTGATGAAAGAAACAAGAGTTACAAGTTAAGTTATGTACAGTATATGTAATGTATCATTGGCTTTCTCACTTGTTAAATGTTAATAATTCCTGCATGAAACAACACACGTAATTGTTTGTATTTCAGTTACCAGACAAAAAGAAAAAAAAAAAAGAAAATCCATGGTAAAAAGTTCTGGAGCACATTGGCAAATTTATCCCAAATTCCACAACAGGAGCAATCGATGGGATACACTGTACTAAATAATAAACTGCAAATTCTCAACTATCTGGCTCAGGCTTCTCTCTCTCTCTCTCTCTCTCTCTCTCTCTCTCTCTCTCTCT